TATGCTTCTTGTACCTTCATAGGAATATCGTTCTTTAGGTTGGGAAAGTTTTCTTCTATAATTTTGTTGAATATATTTTCTGGGCCTTTGAGCTGTAATTCTTCTCCTTCTTCTACCCCTATTATTCTTAGGTTTGGCCTTTTCATGGTGTTCCAGATTTCCTGTATGTTTTGTGTTAAGAATTTGTTGGATTTGTTTTGTTCTTTAATCAGTGAGTTTATTTCCTCTATAGTATCTTCAGTGTCTGAGATTCTTTCTTCTATCTCTTGTATTCTGTTGGTAATACTTGTCTCTGTAGTTCCTGTTTGTTTACCCAAATTTTCCATATCCAGCCTTCCCTCGGTTGGTGTTTTCTTCATTACCTCCATTTCATTTTTCAAGTCTTGAACTGTTTCCCTTACCTGTTTGATTGCTTTTTCTTGGTTTTCTTGGTAATCTTTGAGAGATTTGTTCATTTCCTCTACCTTTTTGTTTGTCATCTCCATTTCTTTATGGCAGTTTTTCATTTCCTGTTTAAGTTCCTCTATTATTTTCATAATGTTCCATTTAAAGTTGATTTCTTCTATTTCTTCTGTAGTAGGGTATTCAATTTTTCTTGCTGTGTGATCCCTGGGTTCTGGTGATGTCATGTTGCCTTTCAGGTTGTTGGAGGATTTCTTCCATTGGTGCCTGCCCATCTCTTCCTTCAAATGCAGCCAGGAGAGTCTTGGTGTCTTGGTCCAATCTTTGCTGTGACTGACTCTCTGGGTGGATCTCATCAGTGCAGGTGCAGGAACTGTTCCCATCTGGATGGAACTCCTCAGCACAGAAACTGTGCCTCCTGGTAGTCCAAGGACCCCGTAGACAAAAGGGCAGCCATGAGGGGTGGGCAGGGTCAAGTAGAACACAGAAGACCCTGCAGTAGAAGCTGAAGGTGCCCTGTACTCCCTTGAGGGGACCTTCTGGCCTGCCTAGCCAGCAGGCACTCAGCCCTCTGGGTGGGTTGCTTTAGTACAGGAGCAGGAACTGTTCCTGGGCCAAGGACTTTGCAGACAATAGCTTTGATTTGCATTTCTCTGATGACTTAGGATATTGAACATTTCCTTAAGTGTCTTTCAGCCATTTTAGATTCCTCTGTTGCGAGTTCTCTGTTTAGGTCTGAACTTCATTTTTTTATTGGATTATGTGACATTTTGATGTCCAATTTCTTGAGTTCTTTGTATATTTTGAAGATCAGATCTTTGTCTGATGTGGGGTTAGTGAAGATCATTTCTCATTCTGTAGGCTGTCATTTTGTCTTATTGACCTTGTCCTTTGCTTTACAGAAGCTTTTCAGTTTCAGGAGATCCCATTTATTAATTGTTTCTCTCAGTGTCTGTGCTGCTGGGTTATATTTAGGAAGTGGTCTCCTGTGCCAGTTCATTCAAGTGCACTTCCCACTTTTTCTTCTATAAGGTTCAGTGTGGCTGACTTTATGTTGAGGTCTTGATCCGTTTGGAGTTGAGTTTTGTGCATGGTGATAGTTATGGGTCTATTTACATGCTGATATCCAGTTGTACCAGCACCATTTGTTAAATATGCTTTTTTCCATTTGTTATTTTTTGCTTCTTCATCAAAAATCAGGAAAAAGATTAATACCTGGGTCTTTGATTCAGTTCCATTGGTCTTTCTGTCTGTTCTTATGCCAATACCAGGCTGTTTTCAGTACTGTAGCAAAAATTCTTCACAGACCTCAAAAGAATGGTACCCAACTTCATATGAAAAAGCAAAAAACCCAGGATAGCCAAAATAATCCTGTACAATAAAAGAACTTCTGGAGACATCACAGGAATCCCTGACTTCAAACTCTACTATGAAACTATAGTACCAATGTTACTCTTGATGCACTAAGAATTTTAAGTCAGATTTTATCATAATAAAATCTGGACCAACCAAGGTGAGTGTGGTTCCTTGGGTATCTGGCCACAGTTTCAAGTCCAAGGATTGTAACTCCTGCCAGAGGAGCAGGTTCTTTCCTCTCCAGTCAAATGGCAAAATCAGACCACATAAAAAATAGTCCATATGTTAATAAGTTTGTTTCAAGGAACACAAAGGCAGAACACACAAAAATAAGGGAAAAGAGTACAGGGCTATATAGGCAAACATGGAAAAAAGAAAATTACTTGAGCCCACAGCATTAGTAATGAACCAAACATATCCTCTGAATGAAATCCTATAGATGGATGGCTGTAGAGATGGCTCCTTCCATGAAGACAATGGAGAAGGTACAGATTGCCTTCAGGGCGTCCGCTTTGAAGAAAAGGACTTATTTGTTCAACAGAATCTCCACCCCTGCAGTTCAGAGGGAGTGACAGAGTCGAGTCAGGAGATGGATCACAAACCTGAATCACTGGTCATTGCATTGTAAGGAAATGTCATATCTAAAAGGCCTAGATCCCAGCAGTCTCATTTGCATATTGACCTGCAGTCCTCAACATGATTCCCCTGCTGATAAGATGATAGGTCAGCTATTTGCCTCAGTTACAGCTTGTATGACAAGAGAGTGTTCAAAATGGAGTTAGTACTGTCTTAGCTTAGTCACAATAATCATAATTAAAATACCAATTTACGCACATTCAAGAGAGCCATAATTTAGCAAAATGCACACCCCAGTGTCATTTCTATTTCGCAGCACTTCTGAATAGCGCCCCTGTGTCCTTCTTTAAGATGTATGTATGTCGGTGCATGTTTGTGTGTGTGCATGTCCATGTTGGGGACTGCTAGGTCTCAAACCTAGGGCAAACAGTTACTGAGGCACTTATCAACACATCAAAGGTGACACTGTCCCCAGTCTCTCTCAGCAGTTCCAGTACCTGTTACAGAGACATGCTGGCTGAGAACCCCACCACTACCCTGAACTCTCAAGCCTTTCCCCCAGCTTTTCTTCCCTGTACAACCCAGCCATTTTGACTACATGGCCCTTTTAGTCTCCTGGTCTTCTGACTCTCTCCTGGTCTCTTGGCTCTGGTTCCTCTCTCTTTCTCTCTTGTTGCTTTTCACCCCCAGGGCCTGATTCAGTCTGGACCATTCCAGATACCTCTGGATGTGCTCTCCCTTGTATCTATAATATAAACTTCAATCCCTTAGGAACATTTTTATTTATTTTTTCCGTTTTATTTCCTTCAATTTGTTTTTCATTCAAGGACATCCTTGAGTATAATTCTCACCATCCCCCCTCCTTTAAGTCAGGGTCTCTCCTGGGTCTAGAGGACACTAATTAGGCTGCATGGGCCAGAAGAGAAGTTCCCAGGGATTCACGGATCTCTGCTTCCCCAGCACTAGGATTACAAGCATGTATCATCTAACACACTTGACATTTTCAGGCAGGTTCTCAGGCCCTCACGCCTGCAAGGCAGCCACTTTACCACCTCTCAGCCTCCGTGAGCTACTTCTTCTTTACCACAATAACTCATAATAAGCATTAGCCATTCAATCAGACTTTTTAGTACTTTCTGGACCCTGCTCAGCATATGAATTAAGCTTTCTGTGAACTAAATAACCCACACTACATTTTGGGAAGTGCCGAGAGGGTCAGCTCTCAGGGGGTCAGAGGAACTGGAGAGGAGATGTGGAGTCAGCGAACTTCTGGACAGACACGCAGATGCACATGGGGCTTATCTGAGCAGCAAAGATTAATTCTTCATTTTTGTTTTCTCTTCATGCTCCCACTGTGTCCTGTTCTTCCCTGTTGTTTTTTCCTCCCTGTAGTTCTCCTGCATCCTCTCTTATTTTGCCTTATCCATTTTATACCTCCTAAGACAAAAATTTCTACCCAAGAAAAGATTACCTCATGACCACAAGTTTTATATTTTCCAAAAACAAATGAAAATCTTTACACTGGAAGTAATCACATTAAGATTCACTAGTTACATGTTTTTCTTAGACGCCCACAAGTAGTTAAACATTAATTTTACCACCATAACATCTTCACCCCAAAGCAATGATTCTTTTAATATTGATTAACAAGATTTAAGAAAGCCAAGCATATTTCAACCAGTTTCTTTAGTAGTGGCCGGTGGCTGTTCGCGGTTTCAGATTCCTATCCTATTTCTACTCTACAAAAACTTTAAATAAGTGGTCAGCAAACCCTCTATTTCTTTACACCAAATAGGGTCATTTAATCTCCTCTCACGATTTTTTTTTCAAGGGGTATACTGAAACCTGTGATTAAATCTCTAAGTTACATGGCCAAGGAACTTGGGCCTAACCTTGGGTGCAGGGTCTTGATTGCTTTCTTCGATCACCAGCTTTACCCACAGGCAGAATTCACAGGTCTGTAAAGCATGAAACTTCCTTGTTCTCATTTTCCACCCTCTGCACATCTCACATCTAACAAAAGGGAAGGTGACTTCTAGCCTATCTTTGCCCCCGCTTTTTTGTATCACTTACTTGAGCAATTGACAGAATAACTGAAACCATTTCCCCAATAATCTTCACTGTCTTAGCCACTTGTATCTTCTAGGCTGACTCAGAAAGTTTAATTAAATCACAGACCTAACCAACCATTATTTCTCTTATAAGAGTCATCTTCATTATGGTCTGAAGTAAATGGCCCAGTGAGGCGTGTGATTTTCCCACGAAACAATCACACTATATTAGATACGGTGGGAACCTTTCACACAGCAACCACAACAGGCCAAATATAGCAACAAGCAGGAGGAAGCACAGCAGGATGGAGGGACATTCTGGGAACAATTCTCCCAGGGCTTTGCCTCTCCATGGTATTCATTGTAGCTTTGCTATTTGATGAACTGAACTCCATAAGCTCCATTGCAGACTGCAGATCCTCTAACATGGTTACCAACAGAGAAGAAACATTTAATTAAAATAAGGTTTATAGATAAATTTCTTTTGAGGTGGGAGAAATTTCCTCATTAGGAACTGAGAAAATGATGACCACATTCTTGTCAGAGTTTTCAGGAACAATTTTAGGTATGTTTCTCAATTTCCTCTTTCCCATGTCTTCAAATCATTGGGAAGCAGTTCAGCCTGTGACTTCTTCTTTGTGTACCCAGCGTTGGCCACCTCTGGGTCATCTAGCTCAGAGCTTGTGGGGGTTGACGCTGGGCTCTGGCCAGGTCTCTGAGACAGATCTTGCAGAGACAGATACAAGAAGCCCTTGACCTGCTGAACAAAAACCTAAACAATGGTGCAGGAAAGACAGTCCCAAGGTAGAGGTGAGCATTCCTTTCTCAGTTCCAAGGAGACAGTTGGAGTGTGTGGTAGACAATGGGCAGGCTGAGGTGATAGAAGGGACCAAGACAGCAAGAAACCAAATATTGAAAGGGGCTGTCAAAAGACAGGACATCAATGGGACAGTGTGATACTTACGGAAGTGTAGGGACAAGAGAATTGCGGGTGCCTGAGGGTGAAATGTTTCTCCGTGTGTGTGTGTGTGTGTGTGTGTGTGTGTGTGTGTGTAGATGTGTGTGTGTATGTAGATGTGTATTTGTGCATGTATGTGTGTATGTGTGTGTTTGTAGATGTATATGTGTATATGTGTGTATGTAGATATGTATTGAGTGTGTGTATATGTGTGTATGTGTATGTAGATGTGTGTATGTAGATGTGTGCATGTGTATGTGTGTGTGTGCTTCAGAGCTGACTTGGTCATTTATTATGGCTTTGACAGCTTTTTCCTGCTCTAAGTGTGTAATAATTTTGAACATTTGTTGGACTTTTCATTGCTCTAACCTTGGCCTTGAAGTGAGCACATCTGCTTGCTACCTGACAGGGAAGGGAGTCTGCTGGTCCTTGAGACTCTGGTCGGCCGCTATGGTTTCCATCCTACTCCTCAGCACCTGTTTCGTCCTGAGCTGTGTGGGTAAGTTCTTTACTGATGCGGCATCTCTTTGGGGGGACTTTCTTGTTTCTGTTCTGCAGAGACTCCTTTTGCCCACTAACTAATCAAACCTTGCATGCAATACCATGTTTTTCTTGATTTCTCTCCTTTATTTTTTCTTTCCATCTTTTGACCATCAATGCTTCTTCACCTGGCTGTGTTAGCACATGTTTACAGTCATAGTCTGTGACAGTGCCTTCCAGCATTGGGTTCACCAATTCTCTGGTCACATTCTCGTCACATCTCTCTGTTGGGAGCACAACTCCAGTGGATTACATAATGTTGGCAGTTTGGAGTCCTTGATTCATATGGGTTACCCCCTCCCCCCGCAATATGAGAGGAAAAAGCAGTCAAATTAAATGCTGAACAATGAAGAAATAAAATAATTCTTCTTTGTTTCATCTGCCCACAAAACTGTGTCTGACGTCTATTGTGTGAGAAGTTTTGATGATGTTTGCTGCAGTCTGCAGTCTGCTTCTCTGTTTGCTGTAAGATGATCACAGTTGTCACTACAGGTTCAGGAGGGAGTGGGAGGGACGCACGCCATGTGCTGCTTCTTGTCTGCAGTCCGCTCCGAGTGGGACAAACATCCCATTCTCTCAAAAGCAGGGCTTGCTCTAACCAGCACAGCCAAGTCTAAGAGGGTGGGCCCTGGTGGTTAAGGATCGTTATTTTATTTGTCAAGAAGAAACTGAAATTCAAGACCCAAAGCATGAACTAGAAAGGTAAAAAAGTTTGTTTAAAATATTGAAGAAAATTTGTTTTTTTGTTAAATTGTTTAATGGGCACACCACACCCTTGAACAAAATGTTAACTTTATTTATTTATTATAAATTTTATTCATTCATTGAAATTTTGTTTTTATATACAATGTATCTTGATCATATCCACCCCACTTAAAAGTCTCCAGATGCTTGAAGTAGACTACCTGCTCAGGAATGGTTAGGATATGGTAACATACCCTCTGGTCTTGCCTCGAAGTTGTTCAAACAAAGGGGACCAGACATTGGTGAGCCAACAGATAACTACACAGGACTTGTGGTAGTTCCCTGCTACAGGGGTTTGCGTTTTGTTGATGTAGAAGATGAAATTTCTGTTCCAGAAAGTAAAGCTGATGCTATAGTTGGGGAGAGGCAAAGTAAACAAGGAGCTGTAGAAACAAGCAATGGTCTTCAGTGGGTTTGCACAGAGAAAGGGAGCAGAGGTAGAATGGAAATACACCAGCCTGGCCCAGGGAGGGGACTGAGGCTCTAGGGTTGACTGTGTGGATACTCATCCCCTTCTCTCTTCACAGTGACTTACCAGTTTGAGATGGACAAGCCCAATACAAGACTGTCTGAACTTCACACATACCATTCCAGTCTCAGCTGCTTCAGTGAAGGGACGTGGGTGTCAGGTGAAGAGTCACAATATTTCCAGAGCTGATTTTGGGGGGGGGAGAGAGAGAGAGAGAGAGAGAGAGAGAGAGAGAGAGAGAGAGAAGAGAAGAGAGAGGAGAGAGAGAGAGAGAGAGGGGGGGGAGGGAGGGAGGAAGAGAGAGGAGAGAGAGAGAGAATTCCTAGGGTTGAGCTTAAGGTTTATTTAATGTATTTGTGTGTGTGTGTGTGTGTGTGTGTGTGTGTGTGTTGTTTAAACTTGCATGCTATCAAGATTTCTCTAGACTTACATGTTCAGTTCAGGTTCTGAATACATCCAGGGAACAATTCAATTCAATTTCCAGGCATCTTGATTTTGTGAAACACTGTCAAACACCACACACAGTTTGTCCAGTAAAGTCTGGAAGTCATTCATAACTGTTCCTGTGAGTTTTACATTCAATGTATAAAATTCTCTTTGATATTTTCGTTTCTCTATTAATGCTATCCATCTCCATTTCAAGTACCATCTTTATACCTAGAATAACTGAGTCAGGCTGAGCCTGCCCTTGCCCAAAATGCACAAATACCAAGTTCATCCATGGAGAGTTGGGAGTCATCATTGAGTCTTGTATCTGCCTTACCTATATATGATGATGAATGCAAAGACAGTAATGTGCTTGTCTGTAGTGTTCCCTAGGAACTCAATCTTTACACATAAAAGAAATACCATCTAGACAGGTGACAGGGTCCTGTCTCTAAAACCGATTTACTCACCATGTGGAGAAATCTGTGAGAAGTAAAAACAGAGCAAAAGCTCTAGGAGGCACTGGGATTCTCCCTCTTAGTTATTGGTCAGAATATGTTGCATGGCAAAGCAAAAGTTGCCAGATTCTCCCGGTTGCCTCCCCCCCCCCCCTTGCCGGTTTTTTTTGGGGGGGGGGGTCAAATAGCTACAGAGCTGATTCGTTCCTGAGGAAAACAACTCTAGTGAGCATAGTCTGTCTCCTATTTTTTGGAGACACTTACACAATAATAGCTCATATATCTGATTTGAGACAGCCCTTCACATATATCCCAGGAAGGGTTGTGTAGTTTGAATTGTAATCGGTTTTAATAACAAACACCCTGAGTCAGATATAGGGGTAAATGCTGGAAGATCAAAGAAGCAGAACAGCCAGCCGCTAGTTCTTACCTCTACCGAATCCTCAGACCAAAGGGGGTGATCCTGGCTCTAGGAATCCTCAGAACATGTTGAACTCTTGTCTCCTCCTGCCCTTTATTCTTCCCTCTGCCTGGGCACATCCTTTCCTGTCTCCACCTTCCTACTGCTGGTATTAAAGGCATGTGACTCCCAGGTGCTGGAATTAAAGGTCTGAGCCATCACTGCTTGTCTCTGTTTCTCTTTCAGACTAGATCAGTCTTGCATGGCTTTGAACTCACAGAGATCCATCTTCCTCTGTCTCCAGAGTGCTGGGGTTAAAGGTGTGAGCCACCACTGCCTGGCCTCTATGGCTAACTAGTGGCTTAGCTTTGCACTCTGGTCTTCAGACGAGCCTTATTTGTTAGATCACAAACAAAATCTCACCACAGGGTTGGACTCCTTAGACAGCCCAAACTGGCTCGTCCTCACCACCCTCGTGGTTCAGCCTCCTGTGTGCAGGGATTGCAGATGTACAGAAGCACACCAGGCTACAGCTGCAGTTTTAAAGCATGACTTCCTTGAAAGGGGAAGCAGGCACTTCACCTTTAGAGGGCTATGAAATGAGACAGACGTGAATTTTAATGATAAACTTTGTGCCCATTCATAAACACATCCCCTAAGCATATCTAGTTTAAAATTATGGTCAATCAGGCTCTTTGGTATAGTTCATTCTGTTTGTAGATAAATTTATGTGATGAAATTATTTTATATAATAACAGGATCAAGAAATAAGAATAACAGACATTTTGACAATGCTCTTTGGAACTGATATAATAAAAACAAAACTCGAAGCAAAAATGTTTTTATTTTGTCATTCATGGTGATGCATGCCTGTAATTCTAGCACTTGAGAGACAGGGGTAGAGAACTCCCTGTAGCTCTGAATCCAGTCTGGTCTACCCAGAGAGCTCCAGAGCTACATAGTGAGATTCTGTCTCAAAGAAAAAAATTAACTGGCTGTATCAGCCTGAGCTGAGAACTATTAGAGTCTGCAGAACATCCATTCAGGCCCTTCTGGCTTTTAGAGTCTTCAATGAGAAGCTGAGTGTTATTCTAATGGGTCTGCCTTTATATGTTACTTGGTCTTTTACCCTTGTAGCTTTTAATATTCTTTCTTTGTTCTGTACGTTTGGCATTTTGATTGCTATGTATCATGGGGACTACCATCTCTGATCCAGTTTGTTGTCTCTTGTACCTTGACAGGCACATCCTTCTTCAGGTTGGAGACATTTTCTTCTGTGATTTTGCTGAAAATGTTTTCTGTGCCTTTGACCTGGATTTCTTTTCCTTCTTCTCGTCCTATTACTCATAGACTTGGTCTTTTCCATAGGATCCCACGTTTCCTAAATGTTTTGTGCCTGAGTTTTGTTTTGTTTTGTTTTGATTTATACTGAGGTATCTGCTTACCTCTTCTACCTTGTCTCCAGTGCCCGAGAGTTTCTCTTCTATGACTTGTGCTCTGTTGGACAGGCTTATTTCTGAGGTTTTGTTTGACTTCCTGAGGTACACGTTTCCAGTTTTTTCTCTGGGTTTTACTTAGTGATTCTATTTTACTTTTATGTTGTGGGTTGTTTTTGTTATTTTATTCACCATGTGTGTTTTTACAGACTTCAAACTCAATGGTAATTTTTTTTTGTCTCATATTGCTTTATTTAGGTATTTTTAAAAAATCTTACTGGTCTTTTGTTTGTATTACGGTTTCCAACTTTTTTTGCTTGTTTTTCTTAAATTTCTTTTTTCAAGACAGGGTTTCTCTATAGAGATTTGGTGCCTGTTCTGAAACTCGCTCTGTAGACCAGGATGGCCTTGAACTCACAGAGATCTACCTGTCTTTGCCTCCCGAGTGCTGGGATTAAAGGTGTATGCCACCGCCAACCAGCCAATTTTGTGAGGTTTTTATGGGTTTCCCTCTGCATCTGTTGAGTCTGTGTGTCTCCATGTGTGTGTGTTTCTTGTGCTTTTCTTCTATTTTAAATTCTGTCCTTTAAGAAAAATTGCCTATTTCTAAAGAAAGAGATAACGATGGTTTGGAGCTGGATGAGTAGGGAGAATCTGGGAGGAGAAGGGAGAAGAAACCATGTTGGGAATATATTGTGTGCAAAATTATTTATTTTCAATTAAAAAGATAAAAGCAAAAACTAAAATTATCTCATAAAGATCACAAAAATGCCCACTTTGGCCACAGTTAAAGACGAGTTGGGAAACATACTTTGCCTCCTCCAGGTCCCTCCTGCCCTGAGAGTACTGAGGCAAACCTTTGGATGCCCGAGTTAGAGCATGAGCCCCTGCTCTGCATCTTAACAACCAATAAGTGGTGGTTAACCTCTCAAATATTTGATATTGGATAAAAATTAGTAAGAAGTAGCAATAAGGAGCAATTATTCTGAGTGAAGTACTGTTCAAAATGCTTTGGAGGTACTATGTGATTAAATACTCTGGTCTCAGCATCAATTCCATGGCCCCGAAGGATAAATTCAGAGAATCGTCAATGCTGTAATTATAATGAGAAAGCAACACTGGCGAGCAGCCTCAGATCCTTGGGGTTGTGTAGAACGCGTCTCCTTAATCTTATTCGTCTTGCCTTGTGGTCACAGAAAAAGTTTGGGGTTGTTGCCCAAGTCACTGGAAGTCATTTGGCTCCAGCTGTTACCACATTTCTACCGATAAGAACAACTGGAACATCAGCGAGCAGAAATGCATTAAGATGGGGTCTCATTTGGTGGTGATCAACACTGAAGCTGAGCAGGTAGCTCTTTCTCATTTGTCTTAGCTTTTTAACTGTAGGGAAATATAGCCAAATATGCTAAACTTGATCATTCTTAGATTTATCATTACTTAATTAATTTTTCTCAACCCAATCATTGCTTCCCTTCCCTTCCCTTCCTCCTCTCTTTCTAGTCCCTCCCCACAACCTTCCCTCTTCACCCACCACCATCCATGCCTCTTTTCTCTTCAGAAAAGGGCGGGTCTCCCACATACATGGCGTATCAAGTTGCTATAAGATTAGACACTTTCTCTCCTATTAAGGCTACACAAGACAATCCAACAAAGGGTCCCAAAAGCAGGTAAGAGTCAGAGACAGCCCTGCTCCCACTGATAGGAGTTGCACAAGAAGACCAAGCTATAACTGTAACACACATGCTGAAGGAATGACTAATAGTTATTAGTATGGTCACTTCATTATAGAAAATCCCCTAGAACTTGTTGCCTTGCAGTATTGGAAGTCCTTGGACAAAGACTCTCCACTTCCCATCCATAAAGGCTATGGCAATCACTCCTCTGCGTCCTGCTTTTTATGAGTTTGATTACTTTAGATTCTTCATGTAATTGAATTCATGTATTATTATTGTGTGTT